GGGGGGGGTGTGTTACAAGCCCCCGCGGCGCCCTCAAGCACAGCTGGGGGCTGCAGGCTTCTTGTTTGCCCCTGCCAGCCACCGAAACAGGGAAAAAGAAAAGGGAGATTTTGCAGTTCTCGGAATGGCTGCATGGGGAAGGGGAAGTGGCAGGGGTGGGGGGTGTGGGCACAGACCGCTCCTGCCTGCCCGAACGCCACCATCCCACAGCACCGCCAAACCCCTTTCTTGCCACCTGCCATTTGGCCGGACATGCAGGCCCTGTCCCGCCGAGGAGGCAGCTTTTTCCTCCATCCAAGGTGGCCCCGAGCAGATCCCTGGGTGTCAAGTGGGTGCCAAAATCGCTCTGCTAGAGCTTACACCCTGGGGTGCACCCAGCTCCCACTCCCAAAGTGTTTGGGTGCCAACCAGCCTCATTACATCTGTCCCCGCAGTGGCCCCGTAGCCCTTTGCATTGCCCTGCTGCCACCCGCACCCGTCCCCAGCCCCGTAGCCGCCGTCCCACTGCCCCAGCCCTGTGCAGGGCTGAGAGGAATAACGAGACGGGGAGGCTGTGATGGAGAACAGCCCGTGGGTCCCTGATGCTGGATGCTCAACCCTGGGGACGGACGCTCTCCCAAGTCAACATTGTCCCCCTGCAACCCAGCTCGTCCCCATCCCCTCCCCAGCCCTTTTTACTCTCTCAGTGCTGTACTCACCACTGAGGAAGGCGACGCGGGGCAGGGGCTCGACGCAGAGCATGGCAGCCGGCATCACCACACCACAGAGCAGGCGGAGGGCGGCTGTGGGCATGGCGGGGGACAGCAGGGATGCACCCCTCAAGGGTCCTGGCACCATCCCTGCGTGAAGGGTGAGGGTTAGGGCAAGCGCCGCCCGGGCTGTATGTCACCATGCGGAAATGAGAGGGGGGAAGCCAGCACCCGGTGCGGGGGGGCCCCGGGGCCCCGGCGCTTCAAGCTGTTCGTGGCCCGTGGCGAGTATGGGTGAGAGCTTCCCACTGCCACCCCGGCACAGGCGGAGACGTCCCCGTGCCCTGCTGGGCTCCCTGCACTGGGACCCCCCTGGCACAAGGGTGTCCAGATGCTCCTGCCTTTGCCCCCACAGAGCCCCACAGTGCCCGTCCCCATCAGGGATTCCTCCGTGCAGCTCCATCAGTGGCTAGAGGGTCCACAAAATTAGGGGGGGGACGGGACACTCGCCTCTTGCAGCTCTTTTTGCAGCTCTTGCCAGAAGTAATGGGGAAACAGCAATGTCTTGAGAACTGTGTGGTCCCCAGGACCCCTTGCGGGCAGCCACCGTGTCCCCAGCGAGCGGCATTACCTCTCCGGCAGGCGAGGACAGAGCTGGCTCACCTCCGCCCCTGGAGCATCGGCACCCGGCAGGCGCCTGGCCGCAGGGGGCTGCGGCCAGAAGACCCTTGCGGGCCCATGCCCAGGGCCCAGCCAAGGTCCAGCCGCGCTGCCAGGCTCCCAGCCCGGCTCGTGGCAGGGCTCACTGCGGCCCAGCCCAGCCCAGCGTGGCCCCGCCGGGGACTGCAGGAACCAGAAAGTCCTGCTGGAAGAGGACGAGCCTCAGCAGGTTGGGGCAGCAGGCGCCTGCTCCTGCCTCGCCTGCATTGCATCCCCGCGGGGAAGGCAGCGAAGCCTGGCGGAGGGAGCTGGGATGGGAGCCGGGGTGCTCTGCTCCTCTGACTGGCGTGCCCAGGGAGTGATGTGGGGGGGAATGGCACGCCCGGATGCCTGGGTTCCCTTCCCAGCTTTGGGGAAATCTCTGGGCTGAGAGCAAAGCAACATTTCTCCTGCTGACTGTGAGGAACGACAGCGGGTCTGAGCATCTCACCCACAAACAGCCCCCTGGGGCCGAGCATCGCCCCCACAAACAGTCCCATGAGGCTGAACATCGCCCCCCCATAAACAGCCCATAGCTGTCCTGGCAGCCAGGCTCCCTTGCAGGCTCCATCCTCCACCCCAGGCTGCTCTGGGATGGCTGTGGGCAAGAAACCCACCGAAGCCAAAGCCCTGGGGTCCCCCCAACACCATAGCCACATCTGAGGTACCCCAATATCCCGCTCCAGACAAGGCTGAGGAGCATCCTGCCCTGCCGGGGCCTCCTTACCTGCCTCCCCCGGTGCCACCATCTGCCAGGACACCAAGCCCCAGGAGGGCAGCGCTCTCCCCACCACCTTGCTTGGCCAAGACAGAAAGCTCCTTGTAAGCACAGAAACTAGGTTACTCTGCCCCGGATTTCCCACTTGGCGAAGGGTTGGCTGAGAAACGGGGCCGCACGGAGGCTTGGACCGGTCGCATTGTTCTGCCCTGGGCTGGAGCCACCGGGGCCAGCAGAGGGGGAGGAGGGATGGGAAAGGGAGCGGAGGCTCCTCAGCGAGGCTGAAGGCTCAGGGGGACGGTGGCAGGGCTGGGGAAAGCCCCCAGAGAGCGTGCCTCTGGTGTGAGCCAGCTCTGATACAAGGTGTGAAGCGAGAGCAGCCTCAAGGCTGCTCCAGTGGCATGGGGAGCCAAAGCTCCATCACAGCCCTGTCCCTCCTCCTTTCTGGGTCCCCTGGCCAAAGTGGTCTGGGGACATGGCGGGGGAGGGGGCATTACAGCCTCCCTGCGTAGGATTTGGCAAGTGGAAGCGAGTGTCACTAAGGGCCTCTCAACATTGGGGTGGTTTCGTTCTCCCTGGTGCTTTCGGGTTCACCACGGCTGTGGCTCCATGGGACTTGGTCCCCTGTCCCACCCACTCTCCAGATTACCTCCAAGCTGAGGAATATTATGCTGCCAATAAACACACATCCTCCCTGCAAAGAGCTGTTTAACCTGCCCCGGGACAGAGCCAGACCCAGCCCAATGTGCTCAGCAAGGTGAGACACGGTGGCACAGGGCAGTCGTGAAGCTGGTGGCCACATCAGCACTGCCATCTCTTGGCTGCCGAGACTTTCCCCATGCCTCAGTTTCCCGAGTGGCTGAGAACTGGGATCCCCCTGCAGCAGGGAAGAGTGTGGTCCTTCTCTGCTGCTTGACCCCAAACCCCTGCCCGTGTCCTGCCCCCCAGGAGCATCCCTGTGGCATGGGGAATGCAGGGATGCTTCCAACACCCAGGCAGAAGTCAGGGGCTGGGACAGCCTGGCTCAGACTGGGGGAGGCTCCTTTGATCCCCCCCAGACCTGGAGCAGGAGGGGGTGTAGGGGAGATGGAAAGCAAGGGAGGAGGGGGATGCAGTAAGGATATGTGAGGATGCAGGGGAGGAATCTGGGGGGTGCGGGGGGAGATAGGGGAGGGATTCAAGAGGTGGGAAATGCAAAGGGCAGGATGCAAAGAGTGGGGACAGATGTGGGGTAGTGCAAGAAAGAGCTAGGAGGATGCACAGGAGGGAGTTGGAGGGTAGAGGGGACATGGAGGGATGCAAAGGAGATACGGGAAGAAGAAAGGGGGATATGGGAGGCATGCAAAGGCAAGAATGCAAGGTGGGAGATGCAGGGAAGGTCTCCCTGAGGTTGGGACCACAGCCCCTTTGTCACTGCCTGGCAGCATCGGAGCTGTCTGGGGGTCCCCAAAGCCCATCCCCACTATGGCGACTGCCTCCAGCCCCGGCTCTGCCTCACGCCCCCCGAGGAGGCATCCCCAGCCCGTCCCCAGCCCCGTTCCGGTCCCGCTGCGGTGGTACCGACCTGTGGCAGCACCCGCGCCCGGGCGGCCGGGGAGGCCTGGCGGGACCAGCATCCCTGCGGGGCCACCGGATCCCGCTCCTGTCGCCATGGCTACGGCTTACCTCGGCCGGCTCCGGCTGGCCTCACCCCCCCACGCAGCCACACACGGACACACGGACAAGCTCGACAGATGGACGCACGGCTGCGCACCCTGCGCTCATGCATAGGCACGGATGGGCGCACACCGGCATGCACGCTGACACGCACAGACCTGCACACACATGCACACACACATGAACGTGCACACACATGCACACACATCCCACCCCCCCACCCCCACCCCCGCACATGTGGACAGACACACAGGCACAGACACCCCCGTGCACCCACATGCACACAATGGTGCACCCACGTGTGTCCCATCCAACGCCTCTCTTGACACATTGCTGTGCCCCCATAACTACATCGTGTCACTTCACTCCATCTTTGCTCCCCCCCATTCACACCACGTCCATGCACCCCCAGCTCTGCATCCCTGTATCCGTGCTGCGTCCCTGCACCCCATCTCTGCACCCCCATATCCATACTCCATCCCTGCATCCCCAAATCTACACCGCATCCCTGCACCCCCATCCCTGCACCCCCAAAACTGCACCCCCATATCCACACAGCATCCTTGCACCCCCACCTCTGCATCCCTGTCTCAGCCCCCCCCCGTTGCCACTCATCCGTCCCAGATGAGCTGTGCTGGCTCTGGCACTGCTTGGCTTTGGGGGGGTCCCAGGAGGGGGTTCAGGGTTGAGCTGTCGCACCACCAGCAGCTGCCAGGATCTGGTCCCAAGCAGGCCACATGTATCCCCACACTGCCACAGCACCCACAGCACCCAATTATGGTTGACGGCACTCCCCCCCTCGAAACTTCCCTTGTGGGGAAGCCTGGCCCAACTGGCGCCAGCAGATCCCACTTCTCCTTTGGAACCTGCCCTCCGTGTGGGAGCTGGGTGCCCCGAGCCCCAAAACAGGATCCCCCGCCATCGCTGCTTCCTCCCTCTGCAACCGCCTTCCCTGCATGACCTCAGGTGAGTCGCTTTGTCCCCAGCTTGCAATTGCACAAGCATGCATGAGGCACCCAGGAAAGGTGCCAGCCCTGCTGCTTTGCACAAGCTGGGGTGCCAGTATCAACACCCTCAAAAGCAGCAAAGCCAGAAACGGGCCCATCCAGGGGCCCCTTTCCACCCCACACTGGGGGTACCTGCCCTGCCCAGGGCTGGGGAGCGGACCTGAGTGCCCTCTCAGCTGCTCCCCTCTTTCTGCTGCCCCGCTTCCCATGGGGCTCAGGAGGTCGGGACCCTTTGCCTGGGAGTCGTAAGGAGCTTGTGCCTCGTGCCTGCCGGCCCGCTGGCACTGGAGGCTTAGCCGAAGCCTGCTGCAGGGAGGCAGAGCTGCCCTGGCCCCCTCCCACCCCAAGGGTTGAGCTGCAGCTCCCCACCCCTGCCTGGTCCCCCCAGGGGTGCCCTGAGGGGGCAATGTGCAGCACCTTGGGGTGCAACCCTGGGGGGGGGTGTGTGACAGCGGGTCCATGCTCACATCTTAAACCACCCTTGGGATTAGCGGGGTGGCCTGACCTTAATCCCCCCGGGCATGCAGGGGCCTGGAAGGGGCCCGCGTGGGGCTCGCGGGGGCCCCCAGCACCCACTCAGCCATGCCCCAGCTCAGTAAACCCCAGCGGCTGCTAGAGGTTGGGGTCAGTCCTGGCTCTACCCCATTCCAGTGATTGTTCCAAGGCTCCTTGTGCTAGATTTTTTTTTCCCCCGAAAAGCCTGATGGTCCCCAGCGTGTGCCCCCCTGTGTTTGTTTGCCGTGCTCAAACCTTGCTGCTCCCACCCAGCCATGCACCCCAGGGTGCCTCCATGGAAACCCTGACACTCAGTGCACAAGTGAGCGAGGCCGGGTCATGGCCCCCTGCTCTGGGCTCCCGTTTCCCTCTTGCCAGCCTCCCGGGAGAGCCCAGAGCCTGCCTCAGTCCTGCGGGACTGACCTGACTTGGTGCTTCGTCTGGAGCGGGGCTGCACTTCTGTCACAGGCACTCTTGTGCGTGGTCCCCATCGGCTGTGTGAGGTCCCCATGGGCCATACATGCTCCCCATGGGCTCTGCAACGTCCACGTGGGCTGCGCAAGGTCCCCACAGGGCTGTGCAAGGTCCCCATGGGCTGTACATGGTCCCCATGGGGCTATGTAGGGTCCCCATGGGGCCATGCAAGATCTACACGGGGCTGTGCAAGGTCCACATGGGATGCGTATGGTACCCATGGGGCTGTGCAAGGTCCCCAGGGGCTGAGCAAGGTCTCCATGAGGCCTTGCAGGGACCCCACAGGTTGTGTGAGCCGTGGGGCACCGAGGATGGCGAAGGGACATGGAGCAATGCCGCCAGCTCAGCCCTTCACCAGTGTGACCCAGCCCTGCCGTGCCAGGACACCTGGGTCCCGAGGGGGAGCATGGGGAGGACCTGTGACATTTCCCCTTGCCTCATGACCTAATTTCTCCCCGTGGCATGGCTGGGCAGGAGCACGAGGTCCCAGCAGCGCTGTTGGCTTCCCCCCGCCATTCAATAACCTGCTATTTTGGGCCCAACCTCATGACTTTTGGGGCCCAGCCATGCAGGGCTCGGGGTCAGGCTGGATTCCCACCTCGGGGGCCAGACGCAGCACGGAGGGGACACACTGCAGCTCCTTGGCATTGCTGGCTGTGCAGGGTACCTGTCCCGGCGCTGTGGCACTGGCATCCCTGAGCTGGCAGAGAGACAGGGGGCAAATGGGGCACAGGGAGGGGGTGGCACTGGAGCCAGTGTGTCCCCTGCCACCCTGCAAGCACCTACCTCTGGGATCCCCCACTGTAACCTCCTCTCCTGGGAGGGGAGATGGGTACCTCGCTGGGTCCCCATAAGCCAGCCCAAAGCTGGAAGGTGGAAGTGATGCCCCGGAGACCCCTTGGCACCCCCTGCCCTCACGAGGCTCAGCCCTGCTTGCACCCAAGTCCAGGGCGATGTGACCCCGTGCGGCTGGGGGGACCCAGGCATCCGAGCACTGGGGCGGAGGGGTACCCCCAGGATGGGCACCCCGGGCACTTACCTGGTTGTGCCTGTGCCCCGGCCGCCTGCCTGCGCTCCCTCACATCGCGGCTCCCCAGCTCTGTGCCCGGTAAAGCCGATTACACACCAGCTTTACAGCTCTCTCCTTCTCCCCAGCATCTCCTCCCGCCTCGCTCCAGTGCCTGGCACGGCCCTGGGGGGGGCAGGGGAGTCCCCTTGGCGGGGTGCCGGGGCCATCCCCATGGTAGAAGCAAACCTGCACTCAGGGGCTCACTCAGGTTCTGCAC